GTTCATCGTAATAGTGTGATAGTAACAACTATCGTGTTTACTACCACCGTGTATCCGCGGCTTTCGATCAATCTCGATGTAAAAGCAACAAAAATAATTTAAATTTATATATTATATACGTTTTAGGATATTATATATTTTTTTATACAGACAGTAAACATTATTGAATATTTTTTTTCTAATTAAAACATTTTTACGTAAAATAATATTACACGTATAATACAACTATCACATTATCAATACCAAATATTTATAATCAGCGAAAGTATTTCAACGTTGATAAACTATAGATAACCGTAATAGCGTTTTTCCATATTCTGACTACTAGTACACACTACACGTGAACACTGATTCCATAATCACATAATTGACCACACCATTGAAATTCACGGTATCGACCAGACACTAGACAGCGTACACCAGACAGTGTACACCACTACACCAGTGTGTACTAGTGCAGTCAGATTTTGAGGTTAAGTTACAATAATTATCAATAATAAGCATGAACTAAGATAATATCTTAGTTCGTGACACTGTTTAAGATAGAATTTCTATCTAAAGTCATACCTACATGATATAACGATCATAGTAATATTATAAAGCTATATTACAACGATACATTGTTATTATTCTATTTTTTTTTAAAATATTTTTTTTTTTATTTTAAAAAAGAAGTTTAGATGTTAAATTTAATAAATAACAATATAAAAATAGTACTTACATAGCTTGTGGAAATTTAAGTATTTTTTTCTAAGTATGATGGCTTGTTGAAGAGGTCTGATAATCTGCTGGCTGACTGTTGGTTGGCGAAGAAGGCTGTTCTGCTGACTGCTTGAACTGATGACAATAAGCTAAGAAATTCTGTGTTTTATACCCGAAAATAGCCCCTCTTTGTTCATATCAGAAACTTTTTTAGAATGAATTTAAACATTTTAATATATTACATATCCTGTTTTCATATTAGAATGACATTGGTGTGTATGTAAATTATTTTAAATCCTGATTGTAATAATTTACATTCATATAGTGCACCTAATTATAATATGAAAGTGTAACATGTTCGTTACAAAAGCAATTTATGATAGCAACAATTTAAATTCATATAATGTAATTTCCTGTTGTACCTCTATGTACATGTTTCCACAAGTTTTCCACAGGTTTCTGTAAGGTAAGGTCATTGCTGTGGAAATTTGCATTTTAAATTATTGAAGTAGTGGCAAAATCTGTGTATAAAATACAGAGGGAATTCACTAATATTCACCAGTCTTCAAGATTTCATTCCAGAACAAGCAGCTCAGTTCAACAGAGATACTACCAAAAAAAGATGTCGTACCGTACAATTGCTTCAACTGATTCAGAGGTTAGTAACTACTTAGTAAATATCTTATAACCAAAGCTAATTGGAGGCCAGTCGTAACACTACTCAACGCTATGGTTATAATTCTTAAAATAATATTAAATGCCTGATTATAGCATAGTTTAAAAACTATATAGTAACTAAAGCATATTGGAGGTCAGTCGTGACATTACTCAACGCTTTGGTTATAATTCTTGGAACATAGAAAATATAAAATGAAAAAATAGTAAAAATAATATACTATGTTTTATGTTTCATAGAATGAACATTGCAGCGAATCAATTGATATGAGACCGTCTTTTTCAAAAACAAAACCTGGTCTAAAACGTACTGCAGAAAAAACAAGTGTGAAAAAACCTATGAAAAAAAAGCAGAATAAAATGGTAGTATAAATAATATTTATTATAATGATAGCATAAATAATTTAATTTTTTTATAGAATGCATCATACAGAGATAATGTTACCGAACGTTTGAGATCAGAAGAATTTGATGTCGAGTTAATTAATTCGCTAACATTTAGACAAGGGGACGGTGGTGTTGTAACAATCAAGTCACCTTTTGGAGAAAAAGCAAAGGAGCTTTGGGTAATTAGCCACTATAAGGTTGCTAACATTGAGAATGTACCAGTAAAAGACAGGTAAATACATTGGTTTAAATTTAAAAAACCTATTGATGAATCTGTTTTTTTTTTTCACTGATTTTATTTACTTCTTTTGTTTTTAAAATAAAATAATTTGGTGTTATAGATGGAAGTTCAGTGAAGCTACTGTCAGATTGTATACAAGCGATGAATCAAAAGATCAAACGCTTCATACTGGTCTTAATGAGGCAATGCAAACCATATTTGACAAATTACTAACCGATCCGAAGCGTCAGACTATTAAAAGCAAGACGACCGTTTGATTATTATATGAAAAAATGAGTTTCATTTAATAAACAAAATATTATTATACATGTATGTTTTTATTTATTCAAAACTTAAAGGTCTTGGAAAACATAAACCTATAAACTATGGTTGGTTGGAAAAAAATTTAAAATATTAACAAATTAAAACTAAAACTTATTAAAACTATTCTTTATGATTTAAGGTGAGATGTAATTAAAATAAAAAGCAAGTTTATTATTGAATAAAAGTTTTATTAAAAAAAAAAACAATTATACATATTTAAATATTTTTTTATGATATTAGGTCTTGTAAAATCATATCAGACAATGTGTTAAAATGGAATTGTAATATTTCATATAAAAATGATGTGTCATCGTTCTGTAGGTGATTATAATAATTAAAATCATAGTTTTGAATATATTTTTTGGTAAATTCGTTCCTTTGACAGGTGGACGGCAGACCACGGACATCATTTTTAATTAGGTCATATGCAGTGTTGAAAGTATTTTGATAATTTGCTAAACGTTTTTGCTTGTCTACCACGTACAAATCTATCAAATTCTGTAATTGACGAAGTCGGTACAAATCTACATGTGACAAGGTAATGTATTCCTCATTTAGATGTAGGGTAATTAAACTCTGTTTAACATTGGTTGAATATGAAAAGGAATCGGTGATTTTTACACGCCTCACCCTAGTATTTAAATTATTAATAATCGAATTGTAATTAGGTTCAGACATCAGTGTAAACCATTCTTCTAAACTTAATGTGATAATTTTCTTTGTAAGTTTACATTCCAATAATAAAATAATTGAAATCTGCTTGTTAATTAGTAATCCAACTGTAATACTTTTCTTGTTAAAAGCCCGGATGTCGAATGTAGACTTACAGACAATTATTGGTGAACTCATGGTGAAGTTATTTTTGACAAATTTAAAATAAAAATCTTTTATAAATAAGAAGTGGGATATAACTGTTAGGAGTTATACATTGAACTGCTAGTTTGTTCCCTTTGCAGTCATATTATATACTAAAAAACTCTGGAAAAAAATGCAAAAAATGTGAACATACAGATAGCCAATGAGTGCGTACAAGAGAGGGAATTTACATATACTTACTAACCTGTTACCTGAAAAACATTTTAAATTATTTTATACGCACTAATTCGCTAGGACTGTATGTCCACGAGATATTAAATCGAATATTAACACATTTAAGATAAAAAATTCAATTTTGTTTTATTTTTTTTTATCCAATACAGCAAATATTATAAGCAGCATAAATATATGTACCTATATATAAACATTTAAAAAAACATGATTTAACAAATGGTGTCGTACGAACCGGTTTCACAATTACAAATAACTTCGGTTTTACAATATTTACTTAAGACTTTTTGAACAAACTGATTTCCTTTCATTAACAATACAAATAAACATCTAGGTGAGAATCGAGTATGTTCTATGAAACAATTATCACCGATTTCAAAACTATGTAGAATTATTCCACACCAATGACATTGAACTGCATCGTCGAGATTGATATAGTAAAATCCACATTCCGAGAGTTTGTACTTATTCTGTCCGGTATTTGAAGGGAAACTTCTAAAAGTTCGTAACCTCGATACAAATGTAGAGAATTCTGGATACGCTGGCGATGAATTGAATCGTATTTGATCGACCAATGACTGGATATCGTTTGTGCATTTTTGAAAATTCATTTTTGAAGAAATTAAATAACTTATCCAATTTAATAAAACTTTGAGAAAATAAAGAAAAATGAGACACAACTTGAGTGAACGATAGTTCATTAGTAACTGAATATAATAAAAAAAAAATAATCAACTTTAAAAATTATTGTAAATTTGTTTATCAAATTTTAGATAAAAAAACAGTGTAACCAACACGAGTAAAAAAGAAAAAATATTAAATATTTTTTGCGTGAGACGAAATTTGGTAGTCAATCAGTATGAAATTGTGTTACACGGTAAATCTGAGTGCTCCAAGGGGACATTTCCCCCTTGAACTTTTTTTTTTCCCTGGAAAAGCTGGCTGTGAACATACAAATATATACTACTACGGTCGTAATAACGCGTGGTATTGCAGTGTCGCTCCTAAATCGTCCACTTTTAATATTACACACACCGGCATACGTAAACACTTACCTATGTGGCTATGTATTGGGCGTGTACGCACACAATAATAATAACAATAATAATAATAAAAAACAACCACCTAACCTAACGTACCCAAGATATTATTATTATGTGTCAAGACATTAGGTATACCACCAAACACAAACATCGTGACCGTCAAGGGCTGGAACCCGATTGAGCACAGTTTACCTTTTTCATTACCCAATTGAGCATAGATACAATTAAACAATAGAAATCCAAAATATAACACGATTGAGCATAGAAATAAGTAGGTACAATGTTGCCGTTCCACACATCAAAATAAAAATTTAAAAAAATTGAAATATTTACAGGAATTATTTTATAATAATCATCAAGCTATTAATTAGTGTATAAAAATATAAAATGAAATTATTTTACAAATATATACAATATACATAGTTTATGTCCAATACAGATTAGTCTTAAAGTTAATAATAAAATAATAATTACATAATATAATAAACAATATTAAAGTTCATTTGTTTTATAAATATATAATATAATTCATATCCTATACAGATTAGTCTTAAAGTTAATTTATATATTTGATTTGAATATTTGTATTATGTGTCAACGTTTTAAAGTGGTATCCCTAAATACTTGTTTCCCACTTTTAATAAATATTTTAGTAAATCTTTAGAACATTTATTTCTTAAATATTCATCGTAAGCCATTATAGTTGCATTAATTTTTTGCATTTCAATAAAACTCATACTTTTATAACTGTCGGTTTCAATTGACCGAATTTTTGTCATCGTTTCAGCTTGCGTTTCTTGTAAAACCATAATTACCAAGTGTATGTGTGGGTGAGACTTATAAAATTGTGAATTGTAAGTTCTATGAAAACTTTCAACAGCGTTGGTTGTCCTAAAAAAAAACATTTCATAGAAATTAAATTAACATTTTTTTTATATTTAATATAATTAGATTTTGGATGATCTACCTTGGATCAAACATAGGTTCTTTAGCCCATATATTTTTGGGAAATGGAGATTCATCATCTATATAATTATTGAAAACATAATCGCTAAATTCTGAGCAGACTTTATCATTTGGGCAGACACTCATGAGTTCGACGAATGCATCGGCTACTTCATGATTAGGTAAAAAAGCTAACCCAAAAAAACTCTTAAGCCAATTTCCTAGTTCGTCGTTTTCTTTTTTATAGGCTATTCTGAGAATAGAATCGCTGTTTATCTATAATAATAATTAAGAATACAATTAATGTATAATACTTTGATTTGAAATTATTTTGAACTTACTTTTCACCACCATGATTGTCCTAAATGAAATCGACAAGCTATTAATTGTACATTTTCAAAAACTTCATACGCGGCTTGGTGGGCTGCCCTTTCAAAGTCAACGTGTAATTTTTTTAATATGAACTGACTTCCTGTATATTCAACACATAAGTTTTGTAGGAATATCCACATTATTTTATATGTATCTTTTGATTTTTTAAATAAAAAAAAAATAAACCAACGGCAAATAATTGCCATTTTTATATCCATGAATAGTATATAGTTGTTCAAAATATTTGGGTGCGTAATTAAATGTACCATCGGCGAAAAAATCAATACAATCATGCTAAATCATAAATAGTAGGTTGAAATCAGAAGTAATGCATACAAAACTATTGTCTTCGGGAATATGTATGAATGGTTGTCCACGAAACTTAAAATCATCTTGAGTTTTCATTAAATTCAACTGTAAAAAAACGTCTTCCGGTGACTTAGGCAATTTGGGAAGTACTTTTCGTCGTCTATCGTACATAGCTTTACGAACCGTTTTTAAATCTTTATGAACAATTGAAGATTATTTATTTAAAAGTTCACTTCTAATCAACTTTAAAGGTTGAGTTGATAGTGACTCTTCAGCACGTCTTTTACAATTTTCACGTAATACTTGCCTTTCTAATTTATTAGGTGAATTTCCTTTATGTTTATGTTGTCCACTTGATTTAATAACGATATTTTTATCTGGTCCAGAATAAATCATAGCTGTACAATTATTTTTTGTGCATCGCCATTTTAATAACTCGCCTTTTTTAATCGATCCAATAAATCTGTACTTAAAAGTACCAACATTGGCTAATTCTTTTCCTCTCTCGGATAAAATAACTTTTATTTCACTATTGTCCATCGCGTTCTACGTATATAAAAAAAGTTATCTAAAATAAAACGGTGTAACGTACTAACGCTTAACGACGAACGACCACTAACCACTAACGCCTGATAGTATTGAGTCTAAGGGCCGGTATTTCAATGTATACTTAGCTAAGCTTAAGGCTAGTAAGCTAACTATATTTTTCCGTATTTCAATCAAGGTTTAAGAGATAAACACTACTTTTTCGAGGCTTATCTTAAGGAAAGCTCAAGGTATGGTTTAAGCTGGTCAGGTGTGGTTTATCTATGATATTATTGATTGATAAACAACATTTTAATAAACAGTTAACAGACTAGTTGAACGACTCTACATTAACTACTTGACTGGTAACTATTATATTTTTAAAAAAAACCTCGTAAAATTATGGATTCTTCATCAAGTTCAAGTGATGATGAAACTATAATCGCATTTGTGAATAGACTTGGTCAGCCAAGAAAACAACGCGTTTTTCGAAACCGAACCGATAATTTTCTCGAGTGGGACGAAAACGAATTTTTTAATCGATTTCGTTTAACAAAACGATGTGTGAATATTGTATTGGACCTAATCACTTTCAAAATTCAATCGTCTACTGACCGGTAAGAATGGACTCCTATAATATAAATATTTTTAATAATAGTATTATTATATTTTATATATTTAGGAATCATGCAGTTACACCGGCACAAATGATTTTAATTACAATACGTTTCCTTGCATCTAGTGGTATGTGAATTACAGTAGGAGATTTTGCAGGGATCCATAAAACAACTGCTGGAAAACACATATGGAAGGTTTTACAAGCTATAGCCGAATTAAAATCTACATTTTTAACATTTCCAAATGATCCAATTGTTATTCAAAATATTAAAAAAGATTTTTATAATATTGCAAAATTTCCTAAAGTTGTTGGTGCATTGGATTGTACGCATGTAAAAATACAGTCACCTGGTATGTACCTACATAATAATTACTATCTTTCCTCTAGTTATTATAAATTAAGAATAAATTGGTTTTACAGGTGGATTAAATGCAGAAATTTACAGAAATAGGAAGCAGTTTTTTTCAATCAATGTTCAGGCAATTTGTGATTCAAATCTAAAATTTCTTGATGTAGTTTCACGGTGGCAGGGGTCAGCTCATGATTCGCGAATATTTCAACATTCCAAAATATATTCAGGTTTTCAAAACAGGGAATTCGGTGACAGTATTCTCTTAGGAGATGGTGGATATCCTTTGAAAATCTTTTGTATTACTCCACTTCAAAATGTAAATACTCCTTCAGAGAACCTATTTAATGAAGCACAAATAAGAACTAGAAATCCTATAGAAAGAGCATTTGGTGTCTGGAAACGACGATTCCCTATTTTATCTACTGGGATCAGGTTAAACGTAAGTAAAGCACAATGTTTAATTATAGCAACAGCTATTTTACATAACATTGCAACAATAGATAAAGAACAACATTGTGCTTTACCTCCATTACCTAGAGAAATTGAAGAAGCCATTAACTTTGTAAATAATGTTCCAAATAATATTCACATTAATAATAATAATAATTATTTAAGAAACAGATATGTACAATATTTTGAACATTTATTGTAAAAATAATACCATCTGTGTTTATATATTTCACATCATATTGTTAGTTAAACTATATTATAAGAATATAATCAAATTAATATAACACAATTGTATTGCATTTTGTTATTTAATAATATTAGAAGCAGTTTAAAACAAAATATAAAATTGTGATAATATTTTATTTTAAAATTTATTTATAAAATTAAATAAATATACAAAATATATTAAATTAATAACAAGGGACTTTTTGTTACTTATATGACTTTTGTAATAATAATATTGAAATAATATGAATAAAAGTTAAAAAATATAAAAAAAATTAAATAACAAGGAACTTTTTGTTACTTATATGACTTTTTTAAGAAACTTAAAATAGTAATAATATGAATAAAAGTTAAAAAATATAAAAACAATTAAATAACAAGGGACTTTTTGTTACTTATATGACTTTTTTTGGGGCCAGAGTGGCGCAGTGGTCACGCAGTTGACTACGACTCACACAGTCATCGGTTCGATTCATAGCTCAGTGCAAAATAAATTTGTGTGGTTCTACGTGATCACCATTTCCCCCTGCTGTCGTCCGATTGCGTCATCTGGTTTCCAACTAGGTCCCACTCCATTGGGAGTGAAGACCGCACATGCCTCCTCTTGCAGGAGAAGGGGGGTAGTATCATGCATACAGTGATATATACATTGATAAATAGATCACATGATTTCCCTTCTACCCACTTGTGATAAGCATTTACGAAGACCTAGAGGTCTTTTCAATGAACAAATAATAAAAAAATAAAAATAAAAATATGACTTTTTTTGAGAAACTTGATATTGTAATAATATGAATAAAAGTTAAAAAATATAAAAACAATTAAATAGCAAGAGACTTTTTGTTACTTATATGAATTTTGTAATAATAATATTGTAATAATATGAATTAAAAAAAATTAAAAAAAATTAAAAAATTAAATAACAAGGAACTTTTGGTTATTTATATTGTAATTTATTGTAATGTAATATTTGATGAAATTAATTTAGTTCATTAATTCTAATTTCCTTTTTTTAATTTCTAACTCAACTTTTAATGTTTCCATTTCAATTGCATGTTTTTCTTTCATTTGAGAAATTTCAAGTTCAATTTTAGTCTTATTTAAGCATGCAATTTTCATTTTTTCGTCTGCAAGATTACACCATTTTTTGTTGGTAGTTGTGCCTGTACACTTTTTGGGTATCTTTTCATATACAGAAGTAACTTTTTCCTATAGAAAACAATTATAACAGTAAAATGTTCTTCCTTAAATTATATCTACATTTAATTAATTTAATTTAATTTAATTTAATTTATTTATTTAATTAATTAATTTAATTATTAATTTATTTAATTTAATTTAATTAATTACTTCAAATTTTAACAGAAAACAATTTTGATATTAGATGATTATAAAGTTAACATGAGTAAAAACTAAAATATTAAATTAAAAATGTAATGTGATAATAATAATAACCTGTACAGAATCTGATGGTGAAGATACTAATTGTTTAGATAATGGAGTCTTTAATAATGCTGGCGAATAATCATCCCAATCTTGCCTTCCAGGATTACTGGATACTGAATTCAATTCTATTTTTGATGTTGATGGATTGTTTGAAATTTCATTTTCATTGTTATTATAAGAAATGTCTTTATAAAAATATTTGATTTCATTATACATTATAAAATAGTTTTTAGTATACAGCTATAAAATACAACTAACCTAGTTCATAGTCACCATCACAATCAAATACTGCATAATCTCCGGTTGCTTGAGTGGTAAGAAGATCAAGTGTTTCCATTTCGGATACACTATACACCGATACATTTTTGGGTGGTCCACCACCAGTTCCTTTAATATAGGATTTTTCAGCAGTCACTTTTTGTTTTAGTGTTTTTTTTATATTATCCCATTTCTTTTTTAATATATTCGCTGGACGGTGTTCAAGAGATATGCTGTTGCAATTATATTCTTTACTTAAGTCTTCCCAACTACACTGCTTTTGTTTCCATGTTAATGAATCCGATTTTTTGCACTCAATTTTGTCCCATCGTTTATGTACCAATGTTTTCAGCAACTCGACTTCGTCTGATGAAAAATTAGTACTTCTCTTGGCCATCTTTCTTCCCAAAAAAAACTATATGCAACTATCGTTATATTTATTATTTAGCAATTTTGTTCTTGGTTAAAAAAAATGTACTTAACTGTTTTAAATGCTCACAAGCTCACATCAATAATTATTATATAACATTATCACTGATAACATACTGTTTTGTACAATATCACATTATCACGTGCGCTTAAAGTGATTGTATACTGATAAGCCATGGAAGAATAAACAATATAGCCATAATAAGGCTTAAGCTAAAGCTTAGCTAAGTAGAAGTTTAAAATACTCGTTCTCATTTAAGGTTTACCTTAATCATAGTTTTTGGTTTATCTTAATCCTAAGATAAACTCGCATTGAAATACCGGCCCTAAGTTACTTATATTTTGGCAATACAAAAGCCCACTTCTATATGACTATATATTATATAGATAACAAATAATATCCAATCTTACAGTCGTACAGATAATCTTAATTGGCGTAATCGACAATGCATGAGTGTACCTATTTCGACGATTATGTCGATCCTAATTTCCTACACGACTCGTATATTATTTATCGATTATACTCGTGCCGCTTTCAAAAGATGGGAAACCACGATTGAAAATAATCACCATTCTATGTTAAATACCCCCCATACGACTAGTAAAGCACAAAGATTGACAAATATTCCCACCGGCTTTATATATAGGTACTACAGTCCGGCTCACGAAAAGTGAACGTTCAAGGTCGATGGGTGGTGTCCAAATATTGTTGAATCCAGGGGTTCTCCGTTTTGTACTATTTACCTACCGCTGGCCGCCTCCTGATCCATGATTTGTTTTGGCGGAACCATATTCAATAGACATTCCTTTTATGTTAGCAGCTGCTACTCTACCTTTTTTTAAAGGCAGACCCTACGTCCCTACATTGTGTTTAACATTACAATATTGCCATTCCTCGTGAGCTGGACATAGTGAACGCACGTGTTTAGTTGACAGTGATACAATATTCGGTCTGCTTTTGGTGTTATAGTTTGTTAAATTAATAATAATTTTTAATTATTTAACGTTAAAATGCCTTTTAAAAACAATGACACTCGTAGTCAAACCAAAAAAGTTATTTTTAATGTGTACAATTATTTAAAAAATCTGGCTACTTCAGATGACGAGGTCTTAAAACAATATTTTAAACAGACTCAAAAAATTACTGCGGACGCGTGTGGTGTATCTCTTATGACAGTAAGACGAGTGTGTGCAGAAGGATCACCTACTACTGACGATGTCTCAGACTCGTCACAACCTGGACCGTCATTTAACTCACCGCGAAAAACGTATAAACGGAAAAAGTATGCCACAGAACTGGACGATTTCGATAACGATGTTGTTCGACGAACTGTGCATGAATTTTATGAAAAAGGTGAATATCCTACATCAAGATTAATTTTAAATTCTATTCAACAAAAATTTGATTATAAAGGTAGTCTTGCTTCCATAAATAGATTGTTGACAAAATTAAAATTTACGTATAAAAAATGTAACGACGGACGTAAATTTTTAATGGAGCGAAACGACATTGTTGCCTTGAGGTGTAAATTTTTGCGTACGATGTGTACACTCCGAAAAAATAACGATTCCCGTCCTGTAATTTACTTAGACGAGACGTGGGTGAATCAAAACCACTCTAAAACGTATATATGGCAAAATGAAGATGAAACTGAAGGTTTAAAAGTACCTACCGGTAAGGGAGGTCGGCTCATTGTTTGCCATGCAGGTTCAAGTCATTATAGTTTTATTAAGGAAGCAAAATTAATTTTTCGTAGCAAATCAGGCAATACAGAAGACTACCATAATCAAATGAATGCTGAAGTTTTTAGATCTTGGTTCGTACAAATGTTGCAATCCCTTGAAGAATCATGTGTCATCGTCGGTATACCGTCAATAGATAGTGGTCAATTGATAGTGCGACAATAGATAGTGGACAATAGATTGCGCGACAATTGATAGTATACGACAATTGATAGTATATGACAATAGTATTTTTTGACCACGTTTTCGACAACATTTACTTTTATATTTTAGTTATACTAAACTAATTAATTTTATTTGATTGAATTAACTTATTTTTCGCTCTACATGTTCGCATGTTACCAGCTTTACCATTCGTACCTCAAGAAGACGTTATTGAATCATTTGAAACTCTAATTGAGACTAATTATTTTTCAACCAACGAGGAGCTTTTAACACCACTTATTGACTATTTTGAAAGTAATTGGATTGGACGTTTACAACGCAGACATCGTAGAGAACCAAAATTCAATATTCAAATTTGGAACTGTTTTCCTCTTGTGGAAGCAGATTTGCCTCAAACAAATAATTCAGTGGAGGGCTGGCATAACTGCTTTTCGTCAATGTTGAATTCATCGATTCATCCATCTATATGGAAATTTATTACTGTACTACAAAAAGAAGAACGTGTCAATCGATTGAAAGTTGAACAACTAGTTGCAGGAAATCAACCACCATCAAAAAAAATACAATGATCGAGCAAAAAAACTTAAAAATATATGTAGTGATTATAATAATAGAAGTATAGATGATTACTTACGAGGGGTTGCGCATAATTTTCAACTGCAAGTTTGATTTTTTTATTAGGTACTATTATATTATATTTTTAATTATTGACAACTTTGTTTAAGTTTATTTGTGAAGAATCAAAATTTTATTCGAATTTTTTGATTAGGTATATGTAATATTTTTTTAACAATTGACAACTTTGTTAATAAATAAGTCATAACACTATCAATTGTCGTATACTATTAATTGTCATATACTATAAATTGTCTCGCGATCTATTGTCCACTATCTATTGTCGCGCTATCAATTGACCACTATCTATTGACATGGATC